TGCCCTACCTAGCTTGGAACTCTTCAAAGATTACGCCTGTAGCACAAGCCCAATCGGGCTCAACCATCGATCGAGGTGTGAGAGGCATGCTTTTTTATTAAAAAATTGAAAAAATAATGAGCAGTTAAATAAATTAACAAAATAGACAAGAAATTGAAAAATCTTAAAATTTTATTCTTATGAACTGTGATGTATACAATTGTTTATACATGAAATTAAAAAAAAATTACAATATAATTTGAATAAAATAGTATAATAAAATTGAATATATATATATATATATATATATATATATATACCTATTCCGTGATGGGCTACGGGCCTATACCAGCATGGTCCACTTTTTTGTTCTATATCGTGTTGATGCACGAGCCTCAAAATCCAAGCCCAACACAACTCGGGGGTATGGGCTAGCCCAATTGCTATAGTGACTAGGCTGTGTTGGGTATAACCCACTTTATAGTTTCACATTTATGAGAGATCAAACATTGGAACATCAAAAAATGATGAAGGTAAAAATTAAACGATGCAACTTTGGTTGATAGTCAGTATGTTAACGGTTAGCATTCATTTTTATTGGAAAAAGCTTTGTTTTAGTGTACATCCCATTTAATGATAGGTTAAATAACTATTGGAATAACAAAAAACATAGAGGGTAGAGAGGGATCATGGTTCTATCTGATCCAAACGTTTGATCCTATTTTATCAGATTTGGATATCTTCATTACAGATTTTTTGATCGGATCCAATTAAAAACTGAATTGGATTCGGGTCACCCCTATCCGATTCAAAAGGATCCAATATGTTATTTATATTTTTATAAACTTTTTGTATTGTTTATTTTTTATAAAAAAACATGTATACGTGATGAAAATAGTTGAAAAGTACTTTCATTTTTTGTTCTTCTTTATTTAAATTGTTATATTTTCTTTTTTTAATAATTTATTATTTTAAAAAATTAAATCTGATTGGATCAAATTCGAATATCCAACATCCTTATCGAATTCGAATCTAAATCAATATTTGTGAGATCTGATCGGATTGGATTGGACCTATAATTTATCAAATTAGATTCGGATATACCCTGATTTGAATCCAATTCGATCCATTTGCATCCTTATAAAAAGGGAAAGTGTAATCAAGCTTTTTGACGAAACATTGTTACCATCCTCATTTTTATTATAGATTATAGAAATATATAATGGTTATAGAGAAGTTAGGGTACAATGACTAAGGAGGGACAATAATGGAAATATAAAATACTATATAATATTATAAAATACAATTGGAATTACAATGACTAAAGGGGGCAATAATAGAAATAGATATGTAATTGGAATAATAATAACTAAACAAGAGTAATAATGGAAATAGATAAACAAATTACCATCTACCATTCTATTTTTTATATGGTAATAGAAATAAATAAAAATATCCTATCTTTATTCCTCACTTGAATTGCTATGTCATAAAAATAAGAGTATAGGGGCAATAGTGGAAATAGAAAATCAGGGAGGGGTAGGATTGGAAATATAAAATCAGGGTGTTGGAGTCTAAGGTGTTTGCCCAAAATCTACTTGTCCCATTCTCTTCAAGGGATACAATTGGAAATATGAAATCAGAGAGGGGGTAGGACTAGAAATATAAAACCAGGGTGTTTACTTGTCCCATTCTCTTCAGGGGATACGATTGGAAATATGAAAATCTACTTGTCCCATTCTCTTCAGGGGATACGATTAGAAATATGAAATTTGGAAGGGGGTAGGACTGGAAACATAAAATCAAGGTGTTGGACAAACGATTCATCCATTTCTTCTTTTTTATAAATGGGTAAGATATATACATGTTTTTTCATAAAACAACATAGATAATATGAAAAATTAAATTACAAAAATTCATTATAAACATATCTCAAAGCCTTATTAACGTTCTTTGAGGAGGGGTGGTTGACCTCCTTGGATGCCTACTCTTACTTCCAAGATCAACATTTCCTCGCGGGGCAGTTATAGTTAATGGCTACTAGGGTTTTTCATGGGCACACATACATTCACGAGGAACTGTCCATGAGAGAGAGAGAGAGAGAGAGAGAGAGAGAGAGAGATGAAACAAGATTGGATTCAATTTCGAATTTCATGATTTTGTCTGTTTACACCCTTATCCAAAGGTTCACCTAGACCGGTTGACATTTCCCATCCGCCCCAAAATTCATCTTTCTTTTTCTCCTAGTCTTTTTTTTTTTGAAAATTCGTCCATAAGAAAAAATAAAATAAAATAAAACAGACGAGATAGATATATTTCAGCCAAAATTTAAAATTTTTATGCAAAATTTCAGGGTTTCATGAATTTTTTTACCTTAAATTTTGAATATAATATTACAATAACATAAAATCAATAATAAAAATAAAAAAATAATAAAAAATATTAACAAAATCTATACTACTTTAAAAAGCACAATAGCCTCAGTAATATTTCTGGAATTTTTTGAGGACAAAATTTACCCTTTTACATTTAAATTTATTGATAAAAAATGAGGGCAAAAGGGTAATCAATTATTAATATTAAATGAGTTGAAAAGAGACAAATTATAAGACATTCAATGCATTCAATTTCCTTTCATTAAGTCCAACAATTAAGGTATTAATTTGCATTCACCTTCATTGAATCATATATTTAATGCATTTTTATTTATTTTCATCATTAAATTCTATTAATTAAAACCATACATAATAAATTAATAATTCCAATAACATAAAAACATACTTTTAACATCTATATGAAAAAAATAGTGTTTTCATCTAGGTAGTGGTGAGAAATTAAACCATTTCGGGTCAAATGGGCCAATCCATGTTGTCATAATTAAATAATAAAATTCAAAAATAGATAAAATGCAAAAAATATAAAAATTAAAAGAACTGGGAACATTTTTAACATAATATATTCGACATATTAAACAATAATAAGTATGATAAATAAGAATTGTTTTTATTAATGATGGAAATGGAATATAAAATTTAAAACCAATTAGAAATAAAACTATTTTTCTATTCTCTCTCATTAAATCTCATATTAAGGTATAGTCTCTTATTAAATCCATAAAATTAATTTTAATATTATAAAAATAAATATTTTGAAAACAAACTATTTTCTTCCCTCCCAATGGGGGGTAAGCAATTCAACCATTTTGGGTCAAATGGATTAATAAATAATGTCATAATTAAATAATAAAAAATTAAAATATATAAAATATATAATACAAAAAATAGAAAGAATAAAAAGAATTGGACATATCTCATTATACTAAATAAAAATACATATGAAATGTAAGAAGTAATTTTATTAATGATGAAAATGGAATGCCAAAGTTAAAATCAACCTATAAATGAAATGATGTCATAGTCAAATAATAAAATTTTTAAAAATAAAAATAAAAATAGTAAAAAAAAATAAAAATAGAAAAATAAATAATAAATCTTAAAAAAATAAAAATTACAAGTGATAAAAAGAATATATTAATTATGTCAAACAAAAATTAAGTCTAATAAGTAAAAAATATTTATATAATGTAGATGATATATAACTTAAAACAAATCCGAAAGTAAAGCTATTTTCTTAATGATCCAACTTTTCAAAGAAACTCATGATGTCATAATTGAATAATAAATATTTAAAAAAAGATAGAACACAAACAATGAAAAAATTCAAAATTTTGTCGCATTTGGGAATATTTATAATGTTATATATTCATCATAATAAATAAAAATAATAGTTAAAATAAAATTTATTTTTATTTATGGAAAAAGTGGAATACAAAATTTAATAATAATGATAATAATAATAATAATAATAGTAATAGTAATAGTAATAATAATTGTTATTATAATTTAAAATTTCCACATGCAATGCACGCGCACATTTACTACAAGCATTTGAATTTATTTTTAATCATATTATTATTTTTGTTAATGTTCAATTTTTATCTTAATTATGATATATCTAAAATTCAAATAATTAATATGAAAAAAATTTCATACATGTGCTTAATTATTAATAATGTTGGAAAATTCAAAACTATAACGTGTAAACTTCAATTCCAATTAATTTCCTTCATGTCTTAACTATATGACTTAATAGTTAATTACTCATCTGTTTCATAGACACAGATGAGATGGGTCAGTTGTGGAGGAGGAAGACAGCCAACACATTGCTAGCTGTGGTGTTAATGGTCGGCAATAAGAGTTTGGCTGTTATCCAGTCATATATAACTTGTAATTGCAGAAAGGCACAAGTTAAAATCAGCAGTTAAAACCTAGGGTTGTATTTGGTATTATCGCAGTTTCTACCTGAAACGTTATTGGGTTTGGGATTGATCATTTAATTTAATATGCATGAGAACCACTTCTAGAATGATTGGACTTCCATCAGTTTTAACTTTTGACTTTTCTACAAACAGCCTCAAATAACAGTGTTATATGTGCTATTTAAGATAGTGCATGGCTATTTAGGTGGCATTCACTGATTGCAAGAAAGTTGAAACTGTTCGGCTATGTAAGTTGGTGAATAGTGACGGTGCTTATGATTATTCATTAATCAGCAGTAGTGTTATTTAATTTTCATGGTGGATTTGTGGGGTGGGGTGGGGTGGATGGTTAGTTGAGAGTTGGGACAATGAAATAATGGGGTGTGCCCTGCCTACCAGTCTACAAGACTACAACTACAACAGAGAGAGAGAGAGAGAGAGAGTCCCAGTCAAACCGAATAGACTTTTGCACCTTCTGTCTTCTGGCCATGCATACACGATAATTAATTACTACTATATCATGTGGATTAGAGAAAAGGAGAGTCTCAACTACATGCATTAATTCATTACTCCTATCCAATCTCTATCTCTAGCTGCTATTGCACTATAAATAAACCTCTCCATCAATCCTCTAAACCATCGAGCGATCCAGCATTGCTCTCTTTTGATAAATTCACCACTACTTCTCGTTTGAGAGAAAAGGATGGCGAAACCTTTCAAGAATGCTGCAGTGTTTGGTGCAACGTTGCTTATGGTGTTGATAATGGTTGGAATAGCAGAAGGACGCAGAGTCGAGAGAAAGGCTCTTGCTGATGGCCTAGGTGGTGGTGCTGGCGGAGGCCTTGGAGGTGGTGGAGGAGCTGGGGGAGGATTTGGTGGTGGCTCTGGTGCTGGTGGCGGCGTTGGTGGAGGGTATGGTAAAGGTGGTGGATTCGGTGGCGGYGCYGGCGGAGGCCTTGGAGGTGGTGGAGGAGCTGGGGGAGGATTTGGTGGTGGCTCTGGTGCTGGTGGCGGCGTTGGTGGAGGGTATGGTAAAGGTGGTGGATTCGGTGGCGGYGCYGGCGGAGGCCTTGGAGGTGGTGGAGGAGCTGGGGGAGGATTTGGTGGTGGCTCTGGTGCTGGTGGTGGCGCCGGTGGTGGCATCGGAGGTGGTTCAGGTGGAGGTGCAGGAGGAGGATTTGGTGGCGGAGCTGGTGGTGGTGCTGGCGGTGGTGGAGGAGCTGGGGGTGGATTTGGTGGTGGCTCTGGTGCTGGTGGCGGCGTTGGTGGAGGATTTGGTAAAGGTGGTGGATTCGGCGGTGGTGGTGGTGGCGCCGGTGGTGGCATCGGAGGTGGTTCGGGTGGAGGATTTGGTGGCGGAGCTGGTGGTGGTGCCGGCGGTGGCGTTGGTGGAGGAGCTGGTGGTGGTTCCGGTGGAGGAATCGGTGGAGGATTTTAAGTTTAATAAGTTTGAAGTCAATATTACAGTAAACTATGTAGTATGAGTTGAATTGAGTTCCATGCAGTTGTTTCGTTGCATGGACAAGGAACCAGTACGTATATGCTTCTGAAATTCTTAATTCTACGGTAATTTAACCGAATAAAGAAATATCAACTAGGGTGCTATTTCTAGCTAGTAGTCAATCAATGTGGATTTCCTCTCCAGAAACCTGCGTCTTGATCGATGAAATTTATCAATCTAGGGTTTAATTAATATCATCAGCCCAAGCCAGAGAATGGGTCGGAAGTTGGAATATCACGATGAAATTTATCAATCTGTGTATATCTTAATGACAATTATACCGACGAGAGAGAGAGCCACAGAGGCATACCGATCGTGTCTAAGCAACACTGATATTTTTCTGTTACAAGTTATGAACAGGCAACCATTCGTCGCCGTTGATGAAATCTATAGACATGAACGGAGCAACCTCGTCGTCGGTGAGTTGTCGCGACCACGGAGCACGTTCTTCTGTTTGAGACCCTGGTCCATGGCAATGGTACTCCGCTTGGAACAGATTTCTGTTCAATTCATCACCAACTTATTCATTAAACATCATGCACTGTCTTACTAATTTGATCAGAAATACATATATAAAAAACATTAAATCCTACTCTGTGCTGCCATCGTAGCTCCAGTTGGTCCAGCCCTGTGGAACGATCGTCCTGGAGAGGTAAGTCTTGGCGAAGATCACCCTCGAGTAGGCCCCCTTTGCTCTCCCCAAGTACACCTCACCAATTCCATAGACCTTCCCTTTAATGAACACAAACCCACTGTCTTCTTCCGCACGTCGCCTGTTCTGTGCGGTGATGGACCCGCTTATCTTTACTCGTGAATCGGAATTCACAAAGATTTCACAGCTCTGCATGCACATCGATCGATCCGATGAGCAACATTGAAGGGGTTACAGACAGTTCATTTGTTGGGAGGGCAAATGATCAACTGCCAGATGATGAGCACTTACATAGAAAATGGATTGGCCACGGCCAAAGATGAAATCTATGGAACCCTGGATGTAGCAGTTGTGGTAGTAGTGTCTGCCTTTGTAATCGAAGAGGGTGTTGTGCGCGCTGTAGAACCCACAGTGGTAGAAGGCAGCCTTGTCGGCACCCACAAACGCTGCTACCGACTGATTCTGTGAAGTGAAGGCCATTCCCACCGGTGCATCGTTCTGTAATCACAAATTAATCAATTAAAGGCAAGCAAGAGAGAGAGAGAGAGAGAGAGAGAGAGAGAGAGGTCCTCAACCTTGAAGCTGATGCCGAAGGCAATGAAGTGGGGGGCCTCCACCCTGAGAGTGGCGGACTCGATGTTGTCGGTGGAGGTTTGAGACCAAACGATGGACGTCCTTCCCTTTCCATTTCCTCTCAAGAATATATAGGGCTTGTTCTCGGGTATGAAAATCTTTTCTCTGCATTAACTAAGAAACATCAAAAGAATTGATCGATGAATCACTATTTGATCGATCAAGTATATATGGCAGCCGGAAAAATTAAATCACCTGTACTCTCCTTTCCGAACATGAACGATGATCCACTGGGAGTTTCCTTCTGGAACAGAATCGATAGCAGCTTGCACGGACTGAAAATCGCCGTTGCCGTTAATATCAACCTTTATCGTTCGATTGGTGCCGATCTTCTCCGTTAAGAGAGGAGAATCAATGACCTTGTGTGCAGAAAAACCATAAACAACATCGTGAGAACAGACGGAGATTACGAAGATGGCAACCTGAATTGTTCGAACGACAAGAGATGAAATGGACGGCATCTCGGCAGAGTTCACACCTCCGCTCCCGTGGATGGGAAGGAGGCATCTGGAACTCGGAAGACAACATGTATTTATTAGAAGGAAAAACACTCGATGGGATGCATGAAGCCATTAGCAGCTCTTAATTTGGGTGGTGGTTTCGATTAATTTTCAAAGGGTGGGTTTTGGTCGTGTGGAAGTGAAGAAATTCGGACATCCTTCCGATTTCCATGGGCGACGGTTCGAAGCTGTTAATTCTTACGTTATTGCCTTCTATAGAAGCTGTTAATCCTTGCGTCAAAAATGACCTTTGAATGCCATTTAATTCTCTTTATCAATCATCCAAAGGTTGACAAAAAATTGAAGTCTTAAATCCCAGCCTCTTCTATTCAAAAAAGTTGGTGATTGTTTAGAAGAATCTAGATTTTGGGATGTTCATTTTATTGTTAATGTTTGAATGGTTGATAAAGAGAATTAGATGACATTCTTAGGGCATTTTTGACTTCTCAAATGTCACTTAATGCTGATTAACGGATTGGTTAATGGCAGGTTCACGGATTGGTTAATGCTGATCGTGAATTTTCCCATTTCAAAATTGGTCTTTCATTAAATTAATAAAAAAATATACCAATAAATAAAATAAAAATATAAAAATTCTAAATAATTTATAAGTTGTATATCAAATTTGTACTATAAAATAATTTTTTTTCGGTATTCCATCTTTGGATCGATTAATTGTGTTGATGGATTGATCAATAGATTATGCATGTTTGGTTGCTGACTTCTAGCTAGGCACTCTAGTCCCGACATTTCCGTCATTGATGGTGTCTCGTCTCCCTGAATAGGAATCCACCTCCCTAAGCATGGTTCCCCTGAAGTGGTGAGTTTTAACTCCCATCCCCTTCACCTTCCCCTCCCCTCATCTCTCTCTCTCTCTCTCTCTCTCTCTTGCTTGCTCGCTCGTCCTGTGTTTTTTTCTTTATTCAGCCTTTATTATTTCAACCATGGCCACAAATCAATCAAACATGTCTATGTCCAAGCTGAGAAATATGATGGAAAAAAGACTTGTAATCCTAATCCAGGAAATACAAATTAACGAGCACTCCCAAGAAGAGGATGAAAGCAAGCTTTGTCTGTTGGGTAAGCCCATTGCAGACAAACCTCTTAACCTGACCGGTGTTAGAGAAGCAATACATGCTTCTTGGAACACTATAAAGGGTTTCACGATCCATAATCTCACTAAAGAAATTATGCTAATCATGTTTGAGCATGGCCTTGACCGTAAGATGGTCTGGGATGAGAGACCCTGGTCCATCAAAGGATACCCCCTTATACTCAAGGAATGGAGCCCTGATATCCCTATAATCTAGCTTTAATTCAACAAGTGTAATTTCTAGATCCATATCCTCAATCTGCCGATCAATTTTATGAATTTCAAGACTAGAAGGCAACTTCTACAAGCAACATGAACCCCCCTTGAAGAAGACGGGGAAAACAAAAATCACTGGGGCCCTTTCTTACGCATTAGACCTGTTTATGGGCTAGGCTCGGTCTTGGATTTTATCAAAATTCTAATGTGCCCGACCCGAAGCCCGAGCCTGAGACAATGTAAAGTTGGGCTCGAAGCCTGACCCGTGAACAAGTCTATTGTACATCTAGGTAGAAGTTGATATCTCCAAACCTCTCATCACAGGGGTTACAGGAATCATGAGAAATGAAACCAAGCATTGGTTCAACTTTAAGTATGAATGGTTAGTCACACTATTACTATTGTGGTATCCTTGGACATGAGCATCAGAGGTGTTTGAAGAAGTATGAATAGGAGGAACAGGCAAGATTGGAGGGCAAACAATTTTGCTCAGAACTGGCAACCGAACTTGGTCTAGGGGTGCATGGCTCATGGGGCTTCATGCCCCTTCCACACCAACCTCTCCTAAGAAGGACTTTCACAATAATTCCGGTAAAGAATGCCAACCATCTTGGGGGAGAAACTCTTCATCAAACTCCTCAACTACTACTCTCCAACAACCTTCCAAGTGGAGATGAGCGAGTTGGCCATCGCTAGTGGAGATCTCATCAAACAAAAGCCCTAGAGCTCTAATCGTGGTTTGATTGGAGTAATCAGTGACGAAGTGAGTCCCTCTAAAACTGTTAGTATGTCAAGTGGCCCTATGAATCCTTTGAACACGCTAGAGGAACATGGAAAAGAGAGCCTTTTTAAATCTTGCTCTAATGTGCAGGAGAAGAAAAAAGAACGACTGCACCCTTCATATTTGGAGAAACCTCAATTTGAGCAAGTTGAAAACCTTAAACAACCTAAAATCTCGATCGAGTAACTAGCTCTAGAACCAATTGAACCCTCTTCAAATAAGACAAACAATGTAGGGAGTTAAGAAGAAACAAGCTCAGTAGTGGACGAGCTCAATATTGTTTCTGAATTAGCCCATAGGAAATTTTGAACTCTATATTTGGGGACAACTTGAGTCCAATGAAAATTGATGGACACCCCCCCCAAAAAAGGAGAGTCTGATAAAGAGTTATGCGAGAACAAAGGAGATGATTTGTGCAAAACGCTCCCTGGTGTTCTTAATCAGTGATAAAGAAGAGCGAAACCAACAATTCAAAAAAATCAAATTGAACAACTCAAAAAATGCAACAGGATCAGGGGAAATTTCTATGGCGACTCCTCCTAGTCAACACTTGATCTCTCAGATACCCATTTCTATCCATTTTTTCCTTCATCATAATTCTGATTTAAATCCACTTAGAAGATCTGTGTTCTTGTATCATAAAAGAAGGAAAAAAGAAGTTGCCTTTCCTTTAATCAAAAGGCCAATAGACCCGTCCACCTTAGAAAGATCTCTAAATTAGTGGTGGAACTCCAAAAACAAAAAAAAGAGAAATCACATTGTCAGTTGTAGGGGATTTCAATATGATGATCTCTTCAGGGTTGGTTTTCCAAATAGGCACCACCTGACTCACCTTAGTGTTTTGTTTAAACAAGCATCTCAAGATTTCGGGGTTAAGGAGGTTGTCCCAAAACAACCCCACTAGGATCAATGAGATTTTAAGTTGGAACTGCAGAGGAATGAGAGATCGTCGTGTAGTTTGTCTCCTTAAAAAATCTCTCACGGTAGCATAATCCTGACATTATTTTCATTTCAGAAACTTTGGTAGACCTCCCCTTAGCAAAATGGAACCATTGTTTTCTTAGAAATTGGAAGTTTGATGGGGTTGATTTGGTGGCATTTTGCTCCTGCTTGGAATCCTCTACTTAACCTAAGCATCCTTAGAATTACAAACTTTAGTATCAATGTGGTGATCAGAAATTCAGATGGTTATGAATGGTTTGGGTCTTTTGTCTATGGTGGTCCTGACAAAAGATGGTCTCTTTTTTTTTTAAGAGCAGATGTGTAGTTGGGATAATTCTATCCAAAGTCCCTAGGTCTACATTGGGGACTGGAATTTTCTTGATAGCAACAGTGTTAAAGGAAGTAAAACCTTAAGTTAGAGGTCCCTTAGAGAAGCCCAATCCTTTTTTGGATCACTGTAGTCTTCAAGATCTCGGTTTTCTGGGTTAGCCTTACACTTGGAATAGTTACAGAAATGGAATTTTGGTTGAACAGAGATTGGATAGAGCATATGCTAACCTAGACTGGTCACTAAAGTTTGAAAATGCAATGGTTATTCACCTTCTCAAATCTAAATTTGACCACCACCCAATTCTACTTGATATTGATTACAAAATGTCTTGGTCACCCAAACCTTTTAGATTTGAAGAAGCATGGTGTTCCCACCTAAATTGCAAAGAGACATTTAAATCTGCCTGGAAAAATCCTAAAGAAGGGTCTTAGATGTTTGAGTTAGCCAAGAAAATCTAAAGCTTGAATCCAGAAATGAAAAAGTGCAACAAGTTTGTCTTTGGGGACATCTCCCTTAATATCACAAAAGCAAATGAGGCTTTACAAAAAGCCTTAGATGATCGTTAAATGAGAAATAATGACATTGTAATAAAAAATCTAGAGAACTACTTGGATCAGGAGCTCAAGAGAGAAGAAATCATGTGGAGACAGAGGTCTCGAATAAACTGGTCAAAGGAAGGGGATAAGAACACACATTTTTTTTTCATGCTTCCACCATCTCTCTCTTGAAGAAACTTTATCCATGAGTTTAAGGATGATCAAGGGAGATGTTTCAGAGAGTAGGAAGATGTTGCAAAGCATTTTCATGATTTTTTTTAGTAATCTTTTTACTAGTGGGGGATCAAGCAATGTTCATGAGCTCATCAACAACATTAATGTCCAACGTTTAGAAGATGATAGGAATCTCTTAGATTTATCTGTCACTAATGAAGAAATCATAAATGCTTTAAACCAAATGACCCCCTCCAAAGCTCCGGGTTCAGATGGACTTCCAAATTTCTTTTATCAAAAATCCTAGAAAATTGTGGGTAAGGATGTCTTGGAGACAATGCATGAATTTTTTTGAAGTGGGAAAATGCTGAAGGAGTTAAATAATACCATCACCACCCTCATTCCAAAAACAAATAACCCAGAGTCAGCTTCCTAATATTGGCCAATCAGCCTCTACAATACCTCCTACAAAATTATTGCAAAAGTACTAGCCAATAAACTTGGACCTATACTTGATAAGCAGCTTGTAAGCTCAAATCAAAGTGCTTTCATGCTAAGTTGAGATTTTGGACAACACCCTACTAGCGCATGATGTTATCCACTATGAAAAAACACAAGTCCAAGAACAAGCTGATGGAAATTAAGCTTGACATGATGAAAGCCTACGATAGAGTGGAATAGAGGTTCTTAGATATGATTATGATCAAGATGGGATTTGGCAGTTATTGGAGAAATTGGGTGATGCAATATATTAGCACTGTCTCTTATAGAATCTTAATAAATGGGTACCCAGGCAAAGTTATCACTCCCTCTAGAGGACTATGACAAGTGGATCCAATTTCCCCATATCTTTTCCTCCTGGTTTCTAAAGCCTTTTCAACAACTCTC